TTTACTTTTAAAACTAAATAATAATTTTAAAAAAGTTCATTAAAATATTTTTTCATAAAATATGATAAATTTTGATAAGAAAAAAAAGAGTATGTAGATGTTGCTCTGCTGTACATTGGGTGTCTAGACTCTAGAAAGTCACTGCAATGAATGTGTTAAATTTGAATTTAATGACATCAAATCATTGTACACGAAAAACAGTTCTGAACGAAAACTGTCTGCATATTACTGAGGTATATTTTATAATATTATTGCGATTAAAGTAATTTATTGCAAAAAATTGCATTTGAAAATGTCATTGTGTATATAAAATATAATAATACACCTACTATGAAAGTACCCACGAATAATATTTAAAAATGTTTTTTTTATTTTCAATATAGTAATTGTAAAATCTGTAATATTTTCAATATTTAAATTTAATCCTTGTGTATAAGCATCTATTTAAAATGGGCATTTTGGAAAATCCTTCATTGTGCATCCCTACATAGTCGTATGACCTACCTTTAATATACCATTTTAAGTTACTATAACTATTATAGTTTAGGTTCTAAGTTGACCAGTCAGGACAAGTTCCATTATATTATATACATCACATTATAAATGTAATAATATTACATAATATCACAGTGTGTGATAATAATTTTACCGAATCCGAAAAATGTAATTTCTGATATCGCGAAGGCATGGGGATGACTTTTTGAAACCTAATTCATGAATATAGTAAGACTTAAATTATATTTGCACATGATTGGCACAGATTTAAAAATGGGAGGACATGCTTCGCTAAACAGTAGGTTCATGTATACCTTCTATATATAGTAGGAGTATAGTGTATCTCGTTATTGAGTATAGGTCACTGGAATGGAATAATTACGATATTTGTATAAGTACGAAAACCGATTTTGACAGAAAATATTCAATTTTAAAATCTTGCATTTAAAAGTAAACAATAATTAGCAAATTTTCTCAATATTTATGAATTTCGTCAAAATTGTAACTTTAAACGACTGCTACTCGGATATGTGGTCTACATAATATGATTGTAGACCGAACATCCAAGCAGCAATAAAAAAAAGGTGGACAAGTGCAATGTTGTTGTAATTTGTAATGGGATAAAATGATAACGAATGTGTTATATTTGAATTCAATGATAAATCATTGTACACGAAAAACCATTCTGAGCGGGGACGTTGGGTCTTCCTATAAATAATCCTTGTATGTTTAAACAAATTTGTATCAAATTTAAATAATTTTAAAAAAATTTAATGAAAAACGAAAATATCTCATGTCTAGCGTAACTTTCCGGCTAACTTTTATTTTTTGTTTAAGGTATTAAATTAGTGGGAAATCTTGTATTAAAATTCCTAATGTTAGCTATTAAATAAAATCATTTTTGAACTTCTAACTGAAATATAATTTATAAAATTTGAAAATTATTAATAGCTCGAAAAAAGGTTGAAAATGTTACCATCTATGGAAAATGACATATTAATAATGGGTGAAAATTTAAAGTGTACGGTTACTTATTAAGTTCCCAAAATGTCCTTATAAAATGATTGAAGAAGAAAATAATTTTTATTAGATTATAGAAAATCCACGGGTGTTGATGCCTCCTTATCGTAGTTTTAGTATAGTTATGTATATTAGTATAAATGTATTTTACTTAGGTACCTATTTGAGGATATATTTATCGATTTGTTGTTAATAAAATGAAAGTTGTGTTTGGAATTATGTTTTCTTTTGGCTCACCAAAAGTTAAATTTAAAATGTAGGTAGGTAAAAGGAAAGGAACCGCTGCTCTAAACGTGTATATAAAATATTGGGAATATGTATTTTCGATATTTTTAATTGGTTTGTGGACTCATAAGGAACCTTATTACATTTTCAAACTTTTCGACTAACCGAAAATTTTTTTTTATTGGCATTGATAGATGAAAAAATATGTATAGTGAAAATAAGATTAGACTTAATGCGGCAAAAATATGTTACTTCACAATGAAAGGAATGTTTTCCTCCGAGTTACTGTCCAAACGTAAAAGGCACCCAAGGCGATGAAAAAAAAACTGCAACGCTTCGAGAGAAAAATATATGGATCTGCATAAAATAATAACTCGGAAAGATTTGAAAGAAGAACCAACGAAAACCTGCGACAGCTGTACAATAAATCGAGTCTATACGTCAGTTCTTAGTCAGAATTAGGTTGAAGTGGGCCGGACACATCTGACGAGACGAGAGCTTACTCATTACGAAAGTCAAGAAAAACAAGATAACCGGGAAAATATTAAGAAGTAGGCCTCGGCAGAGATGGTATGACACAGTGGAAAAATATATAAAAAGAATCTATCCATTGCTGGATATGGAATCTTGGATAGAGAGAGGTGGAAAATCATTTAAGAAGCGGCGATGGTCCTAAATTGATTGTTATAAGAATAAGAAGAAAAAGTATCATTAACAAAAAAAGTACTAGAGCAAACATTCGGCAAACATTTAAAGTACCACCAATAATTATTTTATAAGACTAACAGCAGTTTAACATGAATTAATATGAACATATTATGGTATATATATGAAATAAAGTAAAGTGAACAACATTTAGTTAACATGTTATGTTGATAAAATATTTGTTTTTAAGTTCAAAAATTTGAACATTTTATAAACAAGGTTCATTAAAAGTTTTTCTTATAGTAGTTAAAATATATTGAAAATCTAGAAATCCACATCCCAACAACCATTCAATGTTAAAATTTTGAAAAAATTCATCAATTACACAAATTATTTGTTTTTATTATATAGCAAGCTTACTTTGCAGTTTCATACATAGTTTTATATAAAAGTCATCTTTATGGCTGTATAGTGTGTAAGTTAATGATGAATAGAGTTCAGATTTGTAACTCCACAAAAGTATATAACTATAAAAAAAAGCTCTTAAAACCATGTTTAATATTAAACTAAATCAGGATATAAATAGGTATTCACTTTAATTCTAGGTACATTAGCCCACATCTTTCAGGGGGAATAAAACCGCTCCCTGTAATATTATACTTAGTACTAAGTAATTACTAACTTTTGGATTGGGAGACTAACCCCACCCTATTTGCACCAATTCTTACAATACACTCAACATGTGTGTCTTTCACTTTTATGTATTCTACAAAAGTAACATAAATTACAGTTGATAAATAGTAAAAAGTAATATATATATTTTCAGTTCATTATAATACGTAATGCCTACATAGTACCTACATGTATTTTTATTCTTGGGAGAAGGGAATAGTAACAAAGAAAAATCTTACTGACACACATTTGAGGAGAAAATCATGTTTACAAAATGTAACAATAAATAAAGCAACGAAAAACATTTTGAGAAAAAAAATTCTTGTTTGGTTAAGTTTGGTTGGTGTTTGGTTTTTTTTAAGTATTTAGTATTTACCATTAGAAATACCTAAGTAATTAAGTAAATTAATTATATCATACCTTATGTAGTCAATTATAATCTTGAGATAAGACAGACAGATAGATAGATATATACCTACAACATTTTGACTACTTATCTTAAAAATATTCTCACATTATCGTAAATTCCTAATCTTGACATCCACAGAATCAAAATCATTATAACCTAGTTACTAACCTGTTCTAGTACAGAGGTTCTCAAGCTGTGGGTGGCATACATTTTTATATTTTTTTTTATAGTATAAAATATTAATTATTAGATTACTATAATATAATATATATATATATATGAAAAACAAAAGAAGAAATGATGTATTTTATGTATAAATACAATTTCAAATAAATATGATATAGTATTTTCGGTGTAACCAAATTATACATTGATGTTCGAAGTTTAATTTTATTATTGATTATTATTAGCAACGATCACAAGTGACACCTAGACGCTGTCAGACTAAGATGGCAATCATCAATAAATCAAAGATTAAAAATGTTTTCATAAGTATGCTGTGGTCTGTGGGTTGCAAAAATTTAAACATTTTCCAAAATGGGGTGATAAGTTTAGGAATCTTTGATCTATTCTGTACTTGTTGATTACTAAATGTTTAATACTCAGGTATTAAAATTAATGAAATTTTATGAATTATTAACCTCAAAATGATTAGAAATATTTGTGATTTTGACAATTTTTTCAAAATTCTAACTTTAAGAGCAGCATTTATAGTATGTATTTAGCATTATGGTTTCAATCTTTTTGACTTTAAAACAAACCATTTTACTAATATAAACAAAAAATAATATTTTTAGTCTCAATATTTATCTTCTTGTATTTATTATAGCTTAATATTACTGTAAAAAGTACAAGGAAACCAAAGTACTAACCGGACCCAATACCTGCTACCAGAGACTACCCTCAAAGTTAAATTTGTAATATTTTTTTCTGCTCTTTAAATGATAACTGACAAAAAAACAAATTAATTTCACTCCTAACAGAATTTGATATTATTTCTTATTATATTTCAATATTTTTTTGATTAGGTACTACAATACATGTTTATAATATAGGTAGTATTGTTAAATATAATATTTTACATAGAATGTAGCAATCTAATCTATGATTTTATTATTATATATCATAATATAAATAAATAAAAATGTAAGCAGTGCCACTCTTGCCATAATCTAAAACATATCAATTTAAAAAAATCACCGTATGTAGATTTATAATTAATATGACACACCCTTAGGGTGTAATCCATTGTAATAAAATATACAAAACCGACAAAAAAAAATATGTGTAATTGTTGGTATTATTTTATAAATATAATGTGGGTCAGTTGTCCTCATTACTATATAGTTTTTTATTTTAGTTTAGTATATTTAAACCAAATGTACCTACATACTTTATTATTTTGTTTATTTAATTACAATCAATGGGGGATAGTTAAATAGTTTTAAATTTAAACTTTAAATAAAATCACATAAATCCCTAAAGATAAGACAATATATATAATGTTAATAATAAATATTTAAAAAAATCTTACCCAACTAGAAAAATCTGTTGATTGATAAACGATACTTTTACGTCTAGATAATGACGTGTAGACAAATAAAAGTCAATAGCCAAAATAAAAACTATGAAAATAACCTTCAATGAGAAGATATATTCCTGGCCCTCATTCTTCAACACACTACACAGCAGCTGCAGCGCAATTGCTAAATCGAAATTATAGAGAATTTATACTTTCTAATATGTATCCTTCGACAACTCACTACAGAGTACAGATAACCGTTATCAGTTTCATGAATTAAATAGTATCAAAGAACAAACTTGATAGAACCACAGATAACAAAATTGGAACAAAAGGTGGTGTTACGATTTAAACCATAGACGCATAGACTTATAGTCTATTGTAGTCTGTACTCTGTAGACTATGTATACTAATGTCTTCTAATAGTATAAACTACTAACTATTTTTTAGTTAAATAATTAAATAATTTTAGTTAAATGCGTGTAAACGGCTGTTAATTAAGATTTAAGACCTAAGTTTTTTTTTAATTTGGTTTAACTCAAACGTTTAGTTAATTCATATTGGAAATAATAAATTGACTACGGGAGTACAAAATTCATAGGTATAAACGGATCGCACTACAACAACCAAATGAAATTATTAATTCGAATTAGGGTAATTGGGTTTAAAGTTTAAACTGTGCATGTAAACTGGTTTGGTGGCAGTGAGTGTATTATACTAACACTGTTTTGACGTACATGTATACTTGTATCCTTAGTTGAATTGATTACGAATCAAGTTAATTCGAATTAAAGGATGCATATAAACAAGGTAATATAAGTTCTATGAGTTTAAATTTTAATACATCTTGCTTACTACTATACATCTTACATGCACAGCTTGTGCTAAATTTGAATTAGTTAACTCCCGAGGTTACATGCATCTAAACGGCTGTTAATTTAGTTTAATGTAAAATTGGTTCACCTAAAACAGTAAATTCACATTTAAAATGCACCGAATAGATATTAAACTGAATTAACAGCCGTTTACTAGTATTTAACTTCAGGTGTTAACTAATTTGAATTGAGTTAAATCTGTTTTAGCTGTGCATGTAACCGTAGTACAATAATATACTGTCTATTATAGGTCTATGATTTTAACAATATATTACAAAGTGTATGAATTGTTCTATGATATGACTTAAAAGTTAATATATAGTATTTGATTTTGCACAGTTTAAGAATTAAAAAATACTATATCTACCTATACTCGCTATACTATCTTAAACAGAGGTAAATACTAAATAGGAAATTCGGAAAATGAAAACTTGTTGACTGTTCTAACAGTGATCGTGATCTAAGGTATAATATGGTATATGTTAAACTGTTTTGCCTGTACACTTCAACTACTTCAATTGTTGTACGCCTTGTGGTTTTTCAAAAATGGATTTAAAAGAAATAAAACAAAAACATGAAGACAATGTAAGCAAGATTTTTCTGCTGTTGTTTATTGGTGACAACCAACGGTATTATCTAATTACTATTAACATAATATTAGATACTTAAATACTTTACTAAGACAGGAACATTTTAAAGACTTAAAAATTAATAAAAAGATAGAAAAGTGCCTCGAACAATTGAATGCACCAGGGAACCAGATTCATCAGTATATTATTCTTATGATGAAAAAACACAAGACCTACCTCCTGTATTGGAACATCATGAATTTTCTGATTATTCAGATGTGTATAAGCTTTAAGTGTCAATAACATACAAGGTAAAATTTTAACTGAAATTACACCTAATTTTGTTAGAATTTTTTGTCGTAAAGCCTCTGTTAAAGAAACAACTCAAGCTGCTATTAATAAGTGATTTACAGATTCTATAATAATAAATGAGGAACCCAATGAACCTAATGGTCTAATTCTTGTACATTACCTGATTACCCAACAGTATATTACCGTTTAAGTAATGTTATACTTCCTAACAGAATTTAATGTAAAGAATTAACTGACCATATTCCAGAAATTGTATTACAACATTACTGATCAGGTAAAACTACCATGTATGTGAGGTGCAGTGTTTCATCAAGAGGCAGAATTTAAAGGCAGACATGTTGTGACAATGCATAATTAGAGAGATTAAATATTTTTTTGGTATAACAGGTTTAAGTTTTTGAAAAATAGACATTAGGATTGCAATATCTTCAAGAGGGTTTTTATGATCCAAAATGTGGTGAATACAGATGACTAATAAAAGACATATAGTTGAATCCAGTTGAAGATAATTTTTTTATTTGTGTGCTTTTATAAATAAAATTGTATCAATTATTTACATGATTTTGGTTTTTTTTTTTTGACATGCTTGTTAATAAAACAATGATATATAATAATCGCACAATTACTTAATTTACATAGTGAAGTTAAAACGGTTTTAAATCTACAAAAAAAAGCTTTGTTATTGACTGAGTTGTTTAAGTATAAATATCTGTGAAACTAAACCCATTTTAACATCATATAAATGTGACAATAATTGTATTAAGTTCTTATTTCTTAGGGTTGCTAATAAAATCAAGTTGCTAATATTTTATATAAAAATATAAATTGTACATTATATTATTATACTTTTATTTAGATTTGTAACACATTATTTTTATAAATGTTTTTGAAGTGATTGGTGACAGCTGACTGTTTAACATTATACTACCTACTACCTTGCCTAAGTGGGTAGATGTGGAGTACAGGAAGCAATGTGCACACCTTCCTTGGTAGAAATTAAATAAAAAAGTTGAGCATAAATCCACAATATTTTTTATGAACGTCTGAATTTAGAACTTTGACAAAATTCGTAAACATCTCGAAAAAAACAAATTATTTTGAGTTAGATAAAAAAGTTAAAATTTTTATGAACTTCTAAGATTTAAAAATTGTATGCAAAAGTTTGTCCATCTCCATCAACAATAAAATTTCTACCGGAAAGTAGAAGGAAATCTAACCTAACCTGAGACTGAAGTTGAAATTTTTACAACATTGGATATTACCTCAATTTCTCATTCAGCAATGTTCTTACTTGATGTAGATACTTGAAATTTACACACACCATATGATTATTTTATCAATTCATATACTTGATGGAATTTTTTTAAATATTTTAACTCGTTAAAGCTTTGAACTGTTTATGTCGACAATTTTCAATTTTTTTAGTTTTTTTTCCATAAATGTCAATAAAATTTTATTTGTTGGGTCAGAACGCTTTGAAATAGTATACACGGCTACTGGTATATACGAGTATTTACAATATCAGTTGAAAAATATTAAAAATATATAGGTACTATTTTTTTTTATAAGCATTAAAAGTTCAAATTTTGACAAAATTAATCAAACTGAGAATGTACAAATTATTTTGTAGTTGCATATTTATAAAATGTTAACTTTTCTAGCTAAGGATCAAACATTTAAAACAAAGTTGCACAGAAATAGTAACTTCTGTAACCAACAAATCTAAAAGCTATATAAACAAAGTTTTTTTTTATAGTTATTTTATGTTCAAATTTGAACGGAATTAGGTACATATTATTAAATAACCAAGATTAATGATTTAGGTTATTTTCTTATAATTCAAAAATATATGTGTATAAGTGCATACTTGAAATTTTTGGAGGATATATTGTTATATTTTATACACCCAATGACTTTTCATATATATAATTTTACCTATCTAATTTTATCTTAATGCTAAATACTAAAATAAATTACTTTAATCACAGTATCATCATAAAATGTATTGAATTATTTGGTAAGTAATATTGTAGGCTGACACACCGTCTTCGCTCAGAATCGTTTTTCGTATACAATTATATCATTGAATTCAAATTTAACACCATCCTTTATGATTATGGTGATCCATTGTAACCCATTGAACAACAGAGCGGCATCCACTTACCCGCTTTTTTATTTATTTATTCTAGTTATGGGTACATAAACTAAATATAAGTTCATTATTATTTATGTATGTAAAATATTTTAATTCAAATCAAAGTTTAAAAATATATTCATTTAAATATTGTCTACATATTAATTATTTAAATTACTTACCTACGCATATAAATGAAAGGGGCTTATATAGGCAAATTCAATGAATTTCTTATAACTACTTGAAAAATAGCCTATTTACAAAATAATAAAAAAATGTACTATAAAATCAACGAAAAATAGTATTACATGTATTATACAGTTGGCTTCAAACAGTAAATAAACTTATTTCAGTACATTTAAACATTTTTAAGGTATTTTGTGTAGGCAATTTTATATTAGTTAACATTCCTCGCACATATTTATTTTTTAAATGATGTGTACAAAACTGTATACAAAATTTTCAAAAAAAACCCAAACTTAAACTTATAAGATGTACAGTACTCTTTTATTTAAAGAATACATTATATATTTATATGTTAAGGTTTCTATATGATATAAAAATTAATTTTGCCTCTGATGAATTTGAATTAACGCTTGCAAGCTGATAGGTAATATAATATACCAATAAAAACTAAAAAGTATATTTACCTTTTACGCTTATTTTAAACCAAACACGTAAAAAATGTATAATGCTATAAATACAAAAAATAGCAATAAGTAGGTACTTATAATATTGTAAGATATTATAGTTTATGGTCATAAACTTATCATAATAAATAATTAATCATTAGAATGTAAGTTGAGATATTATAGATATTAGTTGTAATAATATTTGGCATATTGTGGATCAATTCAGGGCTGACACGTGGTGCTAAGTCATAATTTTCAGAAAACTTTCGATATAACAATAATTTTTTTTTAAACTCTATTGGTACGATTTTTAAAAATTACGAGCTTAGGAATGAGGAGCGGCCCCTAGGTCCCCCTAGAGCTCTAGCACTCTCGCCTAATTATAATGGACTACGTTCTATAAGCTGTAGCATATAGCTATGCACTGAAGCATTTAAATCAAGCCCTATACAAAATTTAAGAAATGTAGCATAACCAGTAACCTCCCGAGTTAAGGAGGTTAGAAAGATCACTACTATATGTACGCAGCCACGAGAAATGTTGATAATCCAACCAGGGGCGTGCCCAGGATTTCTTTTTGGGGGTGGTTTAGTTTAACCTTAAAGTTTTAAAGTTAAACTTCAATACTTAGAACTATATAATTCAAATAAATGTAAGTATATACTGTATTAGTAAAAAAAAATTTAATATTTCATGTAAATTTGTTTAGTCAAAAATAAAATAAAAATTAATAAATTAGTTATCTATAAAATAAAGTCCATTCTTCTTGATACTGATGCAAACTTTGATAAAATTTCATCTGGATTTACTGGTATGTTGTTGTGAATTGAAAGTAGAGCTAAACCAAGCAGTCGACTTTCACTTGTTGTTGACCTCAAGTATGTTTTAATGCGGCGTAGACTTGAAAAAGTACGATCTGCTGTTGCAGTTGATACCGGAAGAGTTACCAATATTTCTAACATTTTTGTTATGTTTGGGTAAAATATACCATTACATTCAGAAAGAAGTTGTAATGCATTTGATAGTCTTTCATTTTTGTTTATTTTCAGCCATTTCGTTTTCCATAGCAAGAACTCTTCTTTTAAAGCACCACTATCTGGTAATACAGAAATATGTAAATCTAAGCATTCTCTAGACGGCCCTTTAGAAGTATTTTAAATATGATTTGGAAGTAAAGTTTCTAAGGAAGATATAACTTCTTTGTGATTTAAGAAACGTTCGCTAAGATGAGTTGTCATATGATCCAAAAATGGTATAAATACAGATCTTTTGTAATATTCGTGAGGGGAAGTTGATGGAACGTTATTTCGATTATTTTGTTTTTTTATACAACGTGGTATACTAACATCACACCCTAACTCGTCAAGTGTCGTATAACTCTCCTCAAAAATTATGTTGAATTCATCATCTGAATTTGAACGCATTTTATTTAAAACATCTATAACATTTTCTATGTGATTAATTGCCGCAGTTAAATCAGAATTTATGCTTTGTAATTGGTTACATAGAGGAAGCGTTAATGAAAACATTTTTTCTAAAACGTTTAAAGAAATAAAAAATTCACCATTTAATATAACTCTTGAAAGTTGATGAGCTGTAGTTGATGTTTCTTTATTCACTGATTTTTCCAAGTGTTCTAATGCATTAACAATTGGAATAAACATTTCTTTAAATCGTTTGATACAGTCATGTCTTAAAACCCATCTTGTTTCACACATTGTTACAAGTGTCATTTTAATATTGGTCAACAATGTAGTTTGTGCTTGTATACATTTTTTTAAAACTTCAGTTCGCTGAGCTGAGCCCCGAAAAAAAGTGCAAACACTTGAAACACTTCCTACGCAATTTCTAATAGCCGATATTTTGCATGCATCACTAATTGCTAAGTTTAATGAATGCGCACTACAATGTACATATAAAGCTCTTGGAAACGTGCGTCTAACTATGGATTGAACGCCATTTAAATGGCCACTCATTGCTGCTGCGCCGTCATACCCTTGCCCGACCATTTTCTCTAAAATAATACCATGGTTTTTTAGGTTTTCTAAAATAACTGATGCTAAACCAGAACCACTTAAATCCGAGTCAACAACAAAGTTTAAAAAATCTTCTCGGATTGTTGGAACTTCGTTATCAGGATCAATATATCGAACACATAATGACATTTGTTCGAGTCTCCCTATGTCGGTAGTTTCATCGGCCATTACGGAAAAAAAACTCACCCTGATTATTTTATTCACTATTTGTTCAGTAATTACTTGACCACAATTTTCAATTAGCTTATTCTGCGTTTTTGCGCTTGTATATTGTGCATTTGCTGCCCCAGTTTCTAAATGATCTTTTAAAATTTCATCGCCAGCATTTGCTCTAAATTTTAAAAGGGCGCGGACCTTTCCTTCAGATTTATCTTTCACAGTAGTATTAATCTTACCATAATCTTTTTTATCTCTTGTTGATAATTCTAACCGACCACACAGTATAATTGTTTTTACAATTGAACATAGCTTAAACTGATTTTGAAGTATTTGTCGTGCATATTCTGAATTTAATTGTTCAGCTACAGTTTTTTGTTTCTTTGAAATAATTAAAAGAAAATCATCTACTTTTTGCTTGCATAATTTATGATAATTAGTATTTTGATGAGAATTAAATTTTTGTTTAGCATTTTTCTACCGGTTAAAAGCTTTGGTAACTAACAAATCCACATTTTCATTACTTGAGTGACCAACTTGATTATGTAAAAATAAAACACAATACGTGCATAATGCACCATTTTCTTGCACAGAGTATGTGAGCCATGAATATTGTTCAAGCCATTGCACTTGAAAACGAAAAATTACGCTTGTCTTTTGGATCATTAGGAAATTCAAATTCTTTTGAAGGACACGCCACTTAGACAATAAAAACATTTCACGACCAATGTCAGTTAGAGTATTACAAGAATGTATGTATGCACCCAAATCACGATTATACGTACTACAATTAGTTTTGTTTTCCGTACATGCAGTGTTTAGAGTGGAATGAGAGGATGTAGTATTAGAAGTTTTCGGTGATAAAGTTACTTGTATTTCAGTTTTACCGTTACTATCCAATTTAGTTGGAGTTTCATCAGAAATTTGTGACAACTTTTTATCTTTTTTACCTTAATTAGGTAATCAAACATAGTACGATTAGTACGTTTCATAATGGCCTGAAAATATTTACGAAAATATATCATTCCTGTAATATTAAATTAGTATAAGTAGTAAAGTAGTAAAATAGTAAGTGTTATACTCGGAATAATGGAAAGTAACTGGCCATATTGCCATAAGTACTTAGGAAAACATTTTTAAATGTATATAATATGTAACTATAACTTTATTTATAAGAATATGATTAATGAATTATTTTTTATTATTTTTTCTACACTTAATTTTTTTTTAAACTATAATTATACATTTTATATTTTAATTTTTATCTATTAAAATAAATTGTCATTAACCTTTTTTTTTAATTCGTTGTTCATCTCTTCACAATTTAATGTACAATTATGTTGGCGAATTTTAAATAATAATAACTGTATGAAAATAAATTTCAAAATAATAAAACGTAAGAGTACAACAGATCACCAATCGTGGTAAACACTAAATGAAAGATTGTAGACAAAGTAAGACTATGTAGACGGTGACTTAACGTAATATGCGTCGTTTGGAGAAGTATATAGACGGGGCACAAATATGCAGTACAACAAAACGGTACCTCTGGTACATGATAAAATCACGTGGTTATGTCACTTATGTACGACCAATGCAAATATTAGGTACCTAACCAAAATTAACAACAATACGTAGTCTAACTTCGGCGCGATGAGCTTGACACAGTCTTGTGAGCGGATGTGGTTAGGTGAAAAAAGCTCTCAGAGGTTAGATCAATTCCATGTCAACATGCACGCTTCCCACACATCGGCTGAAGCTCCGCTTCGTATTGTCCTCGAAAAACACTGATATAATTGAAAGGCCTAATACCAAAAAAATCACACTTATACTATGAGTATAACTAAATATCGAAAATAATAATTATGCTGGAAAAATTAATATCAATAGGTATATACAAAAGTACAAAGATTTTTAAAAAAAAGGTACATATGAATCCCTTTCATGCAGAGCAATCGCAGCCAACCACCGTTTTAATCGGACTAGGTATCTTGTAGTAATCTATTATACGTAATACACCATCAGATATTCCTCGAGGCTTTGGGCTTAATTACATTAAAAAACAACACGCAAGGCGAGTCATCGACTGATGTATGATACCGAGTCAATAACCACAATAAAATATATGAAGTACAGCACTTCGCGAGTGGATGGTAGCGGGCTGACGTATAGTTACGTAACAATTAATAATATCATGCGCTGCTGTCCGATGCGAACAATTCGGAACACAAACGAACGAAATTTACAAAATGATAAACTGTATCAATTTAACGGCATATCAACATAACGCCGAGGAGGAAAAAATACAACAAAACCTAATTCGCTTAAAACCTATTAATTTCCCGATGTGACCTACAAGAAGACATGAAGCAATACAATATATTATATTATTATATTAGAATTAAAATAATAAATAATCATTTAATAGGTAGCAAGTCCACGTCCTGCGTACACAGCGGCAACAGCACGGACTCAAAGCGAACTCGTACACAATACTAGCATACTCTATACAACTACAGAATATGATGTAAATAATATTAATATTAATATTAATTGTTTTTTATTTATTTTTTTAATTAATATTTTATTTTAATATGTTGTTTCACTGTAGATGAACAACCACAACGTAGGTCACAGTATAGGGTGAACACGTCTTGAACTCACCTGATGTAGAATGGCATAGAATGCTGCCTGAATTCAAGCTAATGCTTGAGCAAATTATACCTATTTTAAGTATCGAGTACCTATCTCTCCGTTGGCCGTTATCCTCACGAAAAAACTGCTAGTCTAGTATGTCTGGACAAAATATGTATTATTTTAATACATGATGCAGACCAATCTATTCTCAACTGCATCAGCTACATTTTTTGCGCAAAGGCATAGAACAATATTAATGCCGATACCTGGGACCATTTACACCATTCGACCCTTATAATCAGGGTTGGGATTTTATAGCACTTCCGTATTTATTACAAGATGCTTAAAAAATGTCAGAGTAAGCTAAAAATGTGTTTCATGATACAGAGAACTCAAATTAAAAATTTTATTTTGCTTTTTTGTATTTTTACCCGTTTTTGAATCTAATTCTGTCATATTTTATGAAATTATATTTTAATAAAAGTATTTTTAGATTTTTGTCAATCGAATTATCAAATAAATTGTAAATGTACCTATGGATTAAGTAAATATAGACCGATTACAACGTACAGCGATTATATATAGGTATAATATAATACTAAGATAATTTCGTATTAGGTATTTGGCTCTAATTTTTGTTATCTGCCGATTTTGTTGGGTTTTTGTTATCGATTTCTACTGCGGTTATTATTCGCCGATTATCAACTTTGTATAGTCAATTCATTTTATACAGTCGTCTCGTGTGCCCGTACTCGTGCAGCTACCTAGTACCTATTATTGGGAGAATACACAAGCTGTTCGTCATATTATTGGATTACTCGACTAAGATGAAGCGATTAGTATTCAAAAAACAAAAAAATGTTTAGACAAACCTAATCTTGAAAATAACTTGGCATACATTAAATAAATTTTTTTTTTTTATTATTTAATTTTCTATTTTCTATCTGTAGCCATTGATAAATTGCAAGCAAAAAGTCTGTCCTTAGCCACATCATTAAATATTATTGAAAATATCGAAGAAACACCGAAAACTCTAAATGGTGAACATGGTAAACCTATATATCTCAAATTAAAAAACGTTTTAGAAAAAAATAGTGATTTTTCTTAATTAAAACATATTTCAAATATCTTGGATGGTGAAGAAAATACAAATATTGGTGAATTACTTGGTGAACTTATATGTAGAGATATTGTATACTTAAAATACGCACCAATTGTATCAGTGGAGGTCTAACGTTTATTTTGACTTACAAGACTTTGTTGGCAGACAACCGCCGTAAATTCAAATTCGATAATCTACAGGCCAAGCATTTAATAATTCAATGTAACACTCAAGGTAAACATTTTAAATCTCTCACTTTTTATTTAAAATTTTTTTAAAATAATTAATTGGATAATTTTTTTACAGCCCTTCAGGATTCTGACCAGAGACCTAAACTACGTATAATAATTTCTAATTTGTTAGTGATTATTGATTAATTAATAAATTTCCTTTTTTTCATATTTTTTTGTTTTATTGCATATTTAGCAATAGTTAAGGTCATATTATAGCGCATATTTACGCAAATTTAAGTGCTATAAAATCCCAACCCTGTTTATAATAATAGAGACCAAGCGGCAAGCGCTCCGGCCTTAAAGATAAGACCGGCGATTTTTATATACAGTCCTTAATCACGAAATTTAAAGGAACGGACGGTATACTATTAAAAAAAATAATAATCGATTATGTTTATTTTGATTATGTAAGTGTTGAAAAGATGTGTTTCTGGTCGTCTTTATGTTAATTTGATTTTTCAAAGGAAGGAATGCAGTGTGAACTTTGAAACCTATAGCATGCATTCGGGAATTCCACGTATTTTATATTTTAACTATTATAGGACTTTTTGTCATATATACATAAGACATACACAATTAATAAATACCTATAAGAGCTTAATTAAAACTGGTGTTATATATAGATAACAACCCTTCTTATATCCCGTCCCTAAAAATTAAGTTGTACAATTTCTACATGAAATATTTTAATGATGACAATGATAACTGGCGTTATTTTTTAAATTATGATTTTTTATTGTCAAAGAAAAATCCTTAAAAAGCCCGGTCCAACCCTTGATTTTATTTTGAAGGCCCGGCCCGGCCCAAAGTCACTACAGCCCGGGCATTTTGAGGACCGGACCGGCCCTTGAGTATTTACCCTAATTTTTCTAATTTATTAAATTAGTTGATTGTTTTGTTGTATTTTAGTTGTTCAGATATTCTTTTCTTTGATTGTGTACATAATATAGTAGTATAATATGTATTTTATATTCATATCTATACTCTGTTCTGGGAGAAAATGTAGTTACTTTGCGCATACGATTGGAGCTGAGAAATGTGATTTCAGATGGTTGCAGCGGGGTACAGATTGTTTTGGATTGTGGGATTCTGTCGGCAAACGAAGGGTACTTGAGATGAGTTAAAATGTAATTATGGAAAATATTGTACATCAGTAATGTACCTATTTTGCCTAATCAATGCGCCGAGCAACGCATAATTTGTATACGTGAAGTATATAAAGTAATTTATATATTAGTATATTACTATACTATCTGTACTACGGTCTACGGGTGCATGTAAACTGCGCCAAATTGTTTATTTAATTTAAAATAATGGTACAATATAATTTGTAAAAATAAGCTTGAAATTGTATCATTTCTGAAGAAATATTATAAAGTTTGATATTAAAATATTGAAAATCGGAGTTCAATGTAGCCTGTAGAATATATTTTCCCTCTACTAGTAAAATAAATTATTAAATTTAGTTGATTCTACAGAACAGGGTCATTATTCCCGTTAGCGTATTTTTGTGGAAAAAATTACATTGACACCGGGTGCCTTAAGTCAAAGATGTATTGAACCTACTGACTGAGTTTAGTAATAAGTTATTAGTTATTATGATAAGTTATTATTATAAGCTATTGTTACTAATAACTATTAACGGTCAGATAGGTCGATGCAGTTGAAGTCTGATCTGCAACGTCATCTAAGCTTATCGAATCCAATATAAAATATCGAAAAATGTCGATTTATTTATTTAATAGTTGTACATCGAATCATTGGATGTTTTTATAACACGAAATAATTTATGATTGTCGGAAAATATAATAACATCATTCACTCGAGTTTGATAACTGAATATCATTTATGAACACGTTATAATTATTGAAAGCCTTGAAATTTGTGACCCTTGAGGTCTATATTTCTAATATTTAAAAAGCACTTATTGACCGTAAATAAGTAAGTTGTAGTTGTGCTACAGTACAGTTAGTTATTATCCGTGAAGTCAAAATAAAATGCAGTTTCCTCACAGTTGTCACAGTCATAAAAACTATAAATAAAGTATTATAATTGTACATTTAAATCATCTATTCTATCGTCATACCTAGATCTTAAACGTGTTTAGTCAATTAGTTTATCTTAAATAGGACATATTCGGACTTTTCAATATAATTTGTCGGCCTATGCAGAAGGTTAAAAATTAATTGAGGGACGCACTCGTTTTGTAACCAATATCAACTCTATATTAAACAAAAAAATATTATTATTTGACCAGGTAGGTTAACCTTTATATTTCTAAAAAACCTTACATACATAAATTGTTGTAAGTACTTTTGTATATTACATTACTTTAATATGAATAAGTATAAACTATTACCTATAACCTATTAGTTAAGTAAATGTACAAATATGTTGTGCGAAATACTGAAATGTGAATGTGTGATTATAATATCCAAATCCACGGTGATTCTATTGATTTTTCATCTAAAGCAGTTATACCTATAAATTGCATAAAGTAATAAAAAAAGTTTAAATCTTGTCTTTCTGAAGATTGAAAAGTTTTTTATTTATTTTTATGATTTCGTACAGATTTCAAAATACACGAAAATAACATTTTAGTTTATCTTGTACCCCTCACCTTTTCATAATGTTTTTTGTTTGTTTTTATTATGGTATCGAGGACTGGAGAAGGAACTATGGCGCCAGTACTTCTCCTCCAGCAGAATGTCTTATATTAACTCTAAATAATATATACAAGGTAAAACTGGTTGGACACTCAATGACATAGTACGATAATATAGATACAATATAATATACTATTACTATACATAATATACTATAGATACCTATACCTTAAAAATAAAATTGGAAGTAGGAAATTACTGGTAATATCAGTACTTAACTTGGAAGTATTGTAATCTGTTTGCTAATTACTATATTTGTATATTCTTTGTACTCTAGGACTATAGTGGTCATAGGCTCTATTTCAACTGTAGAACAGGTAGGTTGTAGGTACACATAATATTAACTTGCAAATACACGATTTCTGCTATCATATGTACCTATCTATAGTACCTGTACATCTGAACCAATCGTTGGTAAATTATGGGTTAGGACAAATGTATTATTGTGCCAATAAAATACTTAAAATAGGATATTATAGGTATTAGTTATACTCTGTATAGTTTATACATAAAACACTAGATACCTGCTAATTACGACTAACATATAAGGTAATATATACCAAGTGACAACAGTCGATAATAACTGAAGAACCATTTACCTCTGTCCTGCTATCACCCGGCCACCATGTCTTTGACGGACCATTATAATATTTTAGTCCGTGGTACGTATTAAAATAAAAACATTTTTTAATTTTTAATTTAGTAAGTAATTTAAAAAAAAAATCATTTAAAATTCAAACATAATCAATGTATCTTACCATGGTGCTACTCTATGATCTATATTCTATACATTATATTATATTGTCATTTATCAATCACTATAATTATTTACTGTGCACGATATTTTTATTTGAAGAATCCATACAATTATTTACATTAATTTTTTTGAAAACGGTTTGCTCGTTTTGAAGAAAAACATAAATATGTGTAAATATATAGATAATGCTAATCATAGATTATATTATAATAATGTATAACGACTGTAATGTTGTAGGGAGCCGTGTAAGAAAGTTTCTAGATTAAATTTCTCACCAACATTGACTGCGCAATCGCTTAAGTGACAAATGACACACAAGAATCAGCCAAGGATATAGTTTAAACCGTAGACCATCCAATGATTAAACTTGTCTTCTGAGTCTTAAACAGTTATTTCAATTATTTTTAACATACATATTTTTATGCAGGCCGCAGTGCCACACAAACTATAACTGTTTATTTATCCAATTTATCCATTTTTCAGGCCAGCCAATTTAAGAAGTGGGTCAAACCCAGTGGTGTATTGGTAAATATATTTATGGGTATACGCACTAATAAAATATGTATAATCTACCAAAAAAAAATTTTCTCGCTTCGCTCGTAGTCAATAATCATTACAATAATTAGGTGACTTAATCTCTTATATTATATTATTTTTATTTTATTTCTTTATTAAATTTTCAGTATTTTTACTAATAT